ATTTAAAGTAATAATATGTTTTTTTTATTTATAAAATGTTTGGATAAAAACATAAAAAAAAAAAAAAACATTAAAGAGTTAGTTTTTAAGAATAGTTACTATCAAACATAAACAAATCAATGGAATTTACTTTTTTAGGTAAAAATTATATTATTATCTCATCCCGCATTTATAAATCAGTTAATTTATAAGAGAGGTTAAAGGCATTTCCTATTTTCAGTTCGTTTCAGATTAATGTTTGGTATTGCATTTAATCTGTTTATACCTTTACTGCAGTGAAAAATCATTTAGATAAATTCGTCACACTATGCGACCGATCTTTTCCATTTGGTTTTAGCTCTCCTTCGGAATAATTATAGCTTTCCTTGTAAGAAAAAAAAAAACTTTAGACCTGATAAAAAATAATATGCAATCTAATTTTGTGTATCTGCCTGCAGAACGCCAAAAAAAATTTTTAAAATAAAATTTTCATATGGAAATTTTTCATATAAAATACTCATCATTTTTGTAAATTTTCATAAAACTGGTATTTTTCTTTTTTTTTCAATTTAATAGAATTTTAATTTTGAGAATTTTTAAGACATTTTTCTTTTTACAAAAAAAAAGGTAGATTAAATTTAGTAAAATTTGAAACTATTTATTGATGCATACATTCCAAAAATGGGTATTAAATGTTGTAAACCAAAGATTTTAGAAGAGAAGGATGATGTTTTATCAGCACTAGATGTGTCTCTTCATCCTAATATTTCATCGATTGCCAAAAAATCCTCACCGGTCGGAAAGTGCCGGGATTGTCGTAAACCAAATACTGATATATATAAAAAGGTTGGATGGTGTCAATTATGTAATGCTGCTAGATTTAAAAATGATTTTTATAAATGGTCGAGTGGTAATGATTCAGTTGATAATTTTATTCAAGAATCACAATCAAATGCTAAAAGTTATCAAGAAGTTCTTGAATGGATACCTTATGAGTCAATAGATAATGTAGACTACATAGCAAAAGGTGGTTATGGAACTGTTTTCTCGGCAACTTGGAATGACGGTTATATAACCCATTGGAATAGAAAGAATAAAACATGGAGTAGAAATAATTCAATAACTGTCACCGTAAAGAGCATTGATAATTCGGTTAATATTAATGGAGAATTTTTCCATGAAGTAAACTTTTTATTATTTTTATTTTTCTTAATTATTTCATTTCATTTTATTTTTTTTTTAATTATTATGATCATTTTATTTTGCAATTATGTTTAATTAATATTATAACTTTCTTTTCATAATTAATTAATAAAAGATACGTGCATATCTTCAAAATAGTAACTTCGAAGATCGAACCACCATAAAAATTTATGGATTCACTCAAGATCCACACACTCAAGATTACATGATAGTAACTGAATATGCAAATCAAGGAAATTTAAGGAGTTTTCTCGTTCAAAATCATCGAGTTTTAAATTGGGAAAGAAGGCTACGTATATTACTCAATATTTCTATGTCACTTCAAGATCTTCATCAATCTGGATTTATTCATAAAGACTTTCATAGTGGTAATATATTACAAAATAATGGACAAACTAAAATTAGTGATCTTGGATTATGTCGAACACCTAATTCCCTTGATAACGTTTTACATGGAGTTTTACCATATGTTGCACCTGAAATTTTACGAGGGGATGAATATACGACATCATCTGATATTTATAGTTTAGCTATTGTTATGTGGGAAGTGGCATCAGGAATTCCACCTTTTAGTAATCTTGCTCATAATTATAATATGGCAATTTCAATTTGTAATGGAATTAGACCTCCATTATTAGAAGGAACTCCAAAATCTTTTTCAACTTTAATTGAAAGGTGTTGGGATTCTGATCCGGCAAATCGTCCTAACATAAATGAAATTACAGGAATGTTATTTAGATGGTATTTTAATTTAGAACAAAAACGTTCTTCAGATATTATCCCTACTTTTAATGAAGCAGACCCAAAAAAACCATCAGGAAATGGACTTAATAGATTGGCCGTTGATCCAGCAGTCTTGAAAATCCATCCTGACGCACATTATACTAGTAGACCACTTAATTTTATGGACCTTCCAGAACCAACGAATTTCTTTAGTCGTGTTCGTCATGATTCTGCATTTGCAAGTGCTAAAAGAAGTATGTGCAGTACTAAATTCATTTTATTTTATTTTTCATTCTATTATATTATTGATTTATTATTCATGTTGACTGTTTACAGGAGGCAAAATCAAATATTTAAATTGCGTTAATTTTTTATTATTTTAGACGGATATCCTTATGAAAGCGTCAGAAGACAAGATGGTATAGATATAATACTCAATTCTTTAGGTTTTTTTTTTTAAAAAAAAAATGGACGTATTTTTACATTATTTTATTTTTTTAGAACATCCACCTTTGCCTCAAGTTGATCTTGAACAACTTCGAACCCCTTCAATGGCAATTTCCGGTCCTATATATACTGCATTATTGCGTAAACATTATCGAGCAGATAAAATATTTTTTAATGAACTCGAGCATAAAGGTAAAAGATTAGTTAATAAACAAATTGTTAATTGCTTAATAATTTAATTTAATAATTTTAATTTAATAATTGTTATTATTTTGTTTGTGACTCAAGATTTAGATAATGTAGATAATGTAGATAATGATACTAGTTCACATTCACAAGCAGAAATATCAGAAGTTGCCTCTACGCGTTATTCAGAAATTCTTTCAACACCAGAATCAGAAAGAAAATCAATAAACTATTCACGTTATTCTCTAGCATTAGTAGCAGAACTTCAACGACGATCCACACCAAGATTAATTGATCAATTACGAAAAGGAAAAACCCGAGAATATCCAGAAACCAGAGGAATAATAATTCCTGAAAAACATAAAAATCGATATTCGAATGATACTGTTAACACTTTAAATAATGTTAAATCATCTCGTAAAAACTCGATAAATTCGTCAAATGGAAAAAGCACACGAACAACTAAACAGATTAAATTTAATAATTATAGCGAATATAGTGACCAGAATTATATAAATGCATATAATAATCAATTAAAAGAATTACAACAACTACATCAACAACAATTACAAGATTTACAGTTTCAACAACAACAGCAGCAGCAAAATATCCAACAACAACAACAACAACAATTACAAGATATACAATCAAAGCAACAACTTCAAGATGTACAACGATTACAAGAAATACAACAGCATCAATTACAAGACATACAACAGCATCAATTACAGAACACAAAGCAGCAAGAATTACATGAATTACAACAACATGAATTACATGAATTACAACATGAATTACATCAAGACATACAACAGCAACAGCAACAATTTCAAGATATACAACAATTACAGAGTATACATCAACAAGAGATACAACTTCATCAAGAAAATGTTTATTATGATTCAGATCAAATCTCTGGAGAGATGGAGGAATTTGATATGGAAGATATAGACGTGTTGCAATATGTTCGTAGACAGCCCATAGTTCAACAAGGTATTTATTATATAATAATGTTTGGCAATTGATTTTTATTTCGCGTTAATTTTAAAACATACATTCTAACATACATTTTTTAACATACATTATAAACACACGTTTTTGACATATTTATTTTACATTTTACAGCCAGAAGGTTGAAGATTACATCATATCCAAGTGTGTTTATTACTCGTATTCAACACAATCCAATGTCATCATCATCGTCAATATCAGGACTTTGATGAGTCGGGAAGGGGTTCGGCTAGACCGAATTAAAGAAGAAAATTTATTGTGAATAAGAACATTTTTGGCAAGGTACAAGTACATTTCATAAAAAGTAAAAAATATTCTTTGTTTAATTTACAGTATATTTATTATATATGTTCTCACAATTATAAAAAAAAACTAGAATGAGAAGAATTCTCTTTAAAAAAATTATTATTAAAAAATTTAACATAAAAAGAAAACCCATTTTTTACCTTACTCATGATTCCATAATTGCTAAATAATAAACTTGATAATAATAACGATAAAATAGTCGAGACCTTTATTAAAATTTATTAGAGGACAAAATTGGACAACGAATAGAAAATTATGATTCCATAATTGTTAAATAATAAACTTGATAATAATAATGATAATTTATAAACAAAGTCAGTTAGATCACTCAGATGTATCCGTGATTTTATCAAATAGTAAAAAATTGCAATTTTTTATAATGGAGAGAATTCAACAACGTATCGTTTTATGTTAACACTCCAGTATGTCATAAATACATTTTTAAATTTATTTTTTCAAATTATTTTTTAAATTTTAAATTCTTTACTCTAGACATTGAAATATCCGGTTAATTACTTGATTTATATATTTTAAAAAATTTATTCGCTTTCTTCTCTCTTTCTATTTCTTCTCTCTTTCTATTTCCTCTCTCTTTCTATTTCTCTTTCCTCTCTCTTTCTCTTTCCCCTCTCTTTCTCTTTCCTCCCCTCTCTCTTTCCTCCCCTCTCTCTTCATTTAAATATTAAATTTAACCAATTAACCGGTTAACACTATAAACTTTAACCGGTTAAATTTAAATAGACTACTTTAATCGCAATTAACTGATTAAACACAGTTAAATTCCGATTTCTACTTATACAAAAATTATTATACAAAAACATATGTCTCATGCACAACCCTCAGAAGATGGTAGGGTCTCGTACATTACCATTCCTAGTAGAAAGAGATTCTGATCGATATCCATTCTGGAACACACATACCAGGGAGATATCGATGAGGTTGTGGTCACCAGATTCTGACAATCCTATGAACTCAACAAACCCAATGCCGGTTCTCGACATTAATTTCAAAATATCAGATCCAGACACCACAACAGAGGATCTTTTATCAGTTGTAGTGTTTGAAACACAAAACCAATGAAACACCAGATGGTATAAGAGACGAGGCATTAAATGAACTACTCAGCATATAATACAAATTTAAAGTAAGAAAAAAGATTTGAAATCAAATCAAGAACAAGAGAAAATGGGAAAGATACAATCAAGAGATTTTTACAAACAAAGAAGCAAACATTTTTCATTTTTTAAGAAGTATCAAAACATCAGAAAAATTACCAATTATTAAACATTCATTTAAGATAGCCAGAGACAAATTAAATGAATTTCATATCTGCATACCAATATCGTGTAAAAAAATTACAAAAGAAAATAATGATATAATATCATTAGATCCAGGTGTTCACACCTTTAT